GGAGAGGAGCAGGTCAAGGATGGAGAGGAGCAGGTCAAGGATGGAGAGGAGCAGGTCAAGAAGGGAGAGGAGCAGACCAACGAGGGAGAGGAGCAGACCAAGGATGGAGAGGAGCAGGTCAAAGAGGGAGAGGAGCAGGCCAAGGATGGAGAGGAGCAGGTCAGAGGGTGAAGAGCAGGTCAAGAAGGGAGAGGAGCAGGTCAAGAAGGGAGAGGAGCAGGTCAAGAAGGGAGAGGAGCAGGTCAAGAAGGGAGAGGAGCAGGTCAAGAAGGGAGAGGAGCAGACCAAGGAGGGAGAGGAGCAGACCAAGGAGGGAGAGGAGCAGGCCAAGGAGGGAGAGGAGCAGGTCAAAGAGGGAGAGGAGCAGGTCAAAGAGGGTGAGGAGCAGGCCAAGGAGGGAGAGGAGCAGGTCAAAGAGGGTGAGGAGCAGGCCAAGAAAGGAGAGGAGCAGGTCAAGGAGGGAGATGAACAGACCAAGGAGGGAGAGGAGGAGGCCAAGGAGAAATGCAAGGGAAATTTAGGTAACCCAGCTTTAATTTAGTGAGTTGTAGTTTCAGGGCTACAGGAAACACGGGGACACTTCCAGAGGCTCACATAGTTCAGCTATATTTCTCACAGCGCTGTATTTATCGCGTCCATAGGTCGTCCAAAGATCCGCGCTTGCCCTGTCAGCGCCGGTCACATGGGAATGAGTCTGCTGTGACACCAGAGCATGTGGAGGGGGGCGCCCCCACTATTTGGCGCCCCCCCCTGTCATACAGTTGAAAAATATTGTAAAAAACTACCAGCTCAAGAGTAACATCTGCACCCATCCATCCATTCATTTTCTTGATGGGTCGATTGATTCACGGGGGGTGGCAATCAGCTGCCACCCAATTCACTGAGCACCAGCCCCTCACTGATCCTCCTGCAAGTGGTGAGTCCACAGGAGTAACATCTGCATATTTCAGTTAAACACTCCTTCCCAAACAGATCAAAAGGAGATCAGAGGACAGAGTCATTTCAGCAGTGTTGGATGTTGTTCCAGGTCTTTGCAGAGGCAAAAAATGTAATTTCTGTCAGAAGTGTTGAGTCAAAGCGGCCTTGCATTTTCCACAAGTAACCAGCAGGAGGCGAAAGAAGTATAAAGATACAGAATCTAGACAAACAGTATAACAAATAATAAGGGCGTCAGCAAACGCAGTTTAAGTGATTTATGACACACTGTAAACATGGCTGAATTAATAAATAAAGTCAATGCAGGATTCGAAGACACAATAGGACTTCTTTCCGACATACCACCTATCTTCACAGGAAAATTGTGCAACCGCAAAGTAAAGCTCTATTGTCGAAGAGTCAAGACCATATAAATCCTTGTAGCTCCCAAAAGACAAAGCTGAAGTGAAGGTTGGAATGCAGAGGTCGGACAGTTAAAGGCTTTGAAGCGCCCTCTGGATCCGCTCCATTAAAAACAACCCTCGTTAACAAGACCAGTGTCCGACCAGTGTCCGACCAGTGTCCGACCAGTGTCCGACCAGTGTCCGACCAGTGTCCGACCCGTATCTGACCCGTATCTGACCTGCTCAGTTGATGAGGATTCCAGGAGATCGCGCATCTTCTTCTGTGATGTTCTTCAGGTTGTGTTCGGCCTCGTCCACCGTCCTGTCGTCAGGTGTTAAAACAGATTAACATGGAAACTGTAGCACGGTGGATTTGAACGTGAAACTAATATGATGATGTCACATACGTGAGGAAGTCCCGGACGTCCTCTGCAGTCAGCTCTCCAGTGGTGTCCAGCGTGAGGTCTGCACAGCTCAGAGGCGAGTCCAGAGGAGTGTCCAGCACCGGCGAGGACAGGCCACTAAGAGACTTCGTTTGTCCTACACAGGTCACATGTCGGATTCATGTTGGAGAAGTTATTGTGGATTTAACCAAAATGTGGATCACTGAAACTTAAACTTTCTGAAAGAGATGTATAATGTGGCAATTCTGATTCTGTGGTTTTTGTGTTCAGCTAAAATGAAAATTTTGGTCGTTTACCTAATGTTCAACAAAGACTTTCTCATAAAAATGAACCACGATAGATTTACTGAAATAAATAAATACATTCTTTTAGTCATTATGACTAAAATGTTCAATGGTGAAAACAAAAGTGAGCGTTCAGCAACGACTCATCACTGTTGGTGACTGGACAAAAATTCCATCTGCTCTGGTCTCCATGACAACCATTATTCCTCACCAGGACGGGGCAGAGGCAACTGGGTCGCACTGAATGGTAGTCATGGAGACCAGAGGGGGACCATTCAAAGGCTGAGGCTGGAGGGGTTCACTGATTAAGTGGTCCTGACTAAGAGCAGAAGAATGTAGAGTACAGACCCTCGGCCTGTCCCAGCTGGCTCCGGTGGGCTCCGTTGGCTGTCAGTTTACCAGCGCTGCAAAGAAACATCACTGTTATTGCAGAAGGTCAGGGGAAATGTGTAAAAACCCCATTTGAGTTTAAAATGGAAACATTCTGTCAGAGTAAAGTGGAACCTCAATATTTACACATTTACAAGTTTTCTTTTGATCTTTGATGTGAGAAGCTCAACTTAGTTTTTTTTTTGGTGTTAGATGGACTTTTAATGTGTCTGAATTAAAGATTAAAAAAATAAAAATAAATTAAGAGGCTGACCCATTGTGTGTGAGCTCGAGTGGCCGGTCCAGTTGAATAGCGCAGAGCGGCTCTGTAATTACTTTAGCTGAAAGAGAAAACCTTTCGTATTCCGACGGCGAGATCAAGTAGAAACCTATGAGACAAAATAACTAAAACATTGGATTTATTCTTCTGTTGAATACTGCCACGTTGTTACACACCGACCTTGTCCGTTCTTGGTGAAAAGGCAAGAGGCGATTCCACTGATGTCTTCTTTCCTTATGCAGTCATAGCGCACCTAAAGCATGTTTATGTTAGCACACCTTTACATCAGCACACCTTTACGTTAGCACACCTTTACGTCAGCACACCTTTACACTAGCACACGTTTAGGATCTGAAAGCCTGGATGATGGTCTTACCTGAGGTCGGAGGGCAGGGATGTTGAACAGGTGCATGTCCCCCATATTGGTGAGGCAGACCAGCGTGTGCTCGCTGTAGTCCTCCTGCGCTGTGGAGCCCATTAGCACCAGCGCCACCTTCCGCACCCGGCAGCCCTCGTGCGCCGTCAGTTTGAACTTTGTCTTGGCGCTCACTTTGGGGAGCGAGAACACCTGGAGAGAGCAAACGGTAGCTTTAAAGTCCTGAAGAGTATCGCAAGACACTTCTGTTTATTCAACATTTGTGTAAACCAATGTCGAATAAACAAATTAAGTCTTCTTAGTGAAATATAATAATAATTTAATTAACTCCATAAAAAAACATTTTCTGCTATATGATTATACTGTATTGTATGTGTTTATAGTTGCTTCCACATTAATGCAATATCCAAAGACATTTTGAAAACCTAAATCTGTTTAATTGAAACCTAAGAAAATATTAGAATGATTTAAAGCTCTAGATCCCTAACCCAAGCTATGGAGCTATTATTTTTTCAATATTTGTGTGTGCGTAACCAGATTTGTATGTGTGTAAAAAAAATTGTTTACGCACAAATAGTATTGAAACAATAATAGCTCCATACAAGCATGCATTTGGCTTTTGTCACATCTTTAGCTCAGCTTTTTCAGAAAGAAAGGTGGAAAAAGAGAGAAGACCACCCTGACTGAGCCAATCAGCTCGCAGGCCAAAGTGTCAAATAATGACTCCCAGGGCTAATTAAGCAAAAGATGAAATATCTTTGAATAAGATGAAGACCACATGTTAATCATTTTTTTAAAAGTTATCCCTGCGTTAAGGTTTAAAAAGGTGCTCTAAACTTGTGGAGGGTCCCTGACCACACGACACCAGATTGTAGATAGTCCTGACAAAACAATACAAATTATTTATAAACCAAACAGTCTATATTTCTTGGCTTCATTTAGAAAAAAGCATAATTTTTCAAAAGCAGTTCCGCTTTAGTGCCTGTTACCTTGAGCTGCTCCTCGGAGGCAATGAGAACCGAGTGTGCATTGGTCATGTCTGGAGCGATGGCCAGGTCCTGGGAGGCCTCGTAGGGCTCGGGCAGAGGCTTCCCCCTCCCGTCCAGAACGCTGATGGAGACCACAGGGGCGCGGTGCATGAGCTGGATCTCCTTCCCCAGAACGGCCTCCACACAGGCACTGCTGTCATTGGGCCCTCCCCTCTCACACGCACGGGCTGCTCCCACGCCAGGGACCTCTAGGGCGTAGGCGTACACGCTGCCCGAGTTTGTTCCGGCCCACAGAGTAGGACCATGGTGCGTACCTGGAACAACAACAAAGGAAAATAATAAGAAAATCGGTCAATTTTAGCTGTGCATACAACTGACAGAAGTAAAAAAATATATATATTTTAGATTAATGAATGTCCTGGGTGCACTTTGTTTCACTGTGTTTGAATTGTGCGAATTTATTTACAAATAAACTTGCCATGATTTTGACTTTGCAAATTAAGTTTTTATTATTTCTAAATGAACTAACACTATGGCCATCTCCCAATCTTCCAAAGAGATTCCAGAGCTTAAATGACAACACACAAATTCATGAGTGGCTACTATTGAATCATTCATTATTTCATTATTCGTCCCAAAAGCTACAAACTAAAATAGGTTCATGCAGAGATTTGCTGAACCACTTCTTCTGTTGCTCGCATGTATAATAGCAAAGTGAATATTCCATACCGTCTCGTAGAAAAGTGTCAGCAAAGCAAAGACAGCGGACGACTCCGGAAAGCGAGTCGTCTGCGGAGCGCGGCTCAATCCTCCTCTGGACTGGAGCCACATCCTCCTGCTCCGCTAACGCCGCGTTGGCTTCTTGGACCTAATCAAGAACAACATCTATTAGTGTTACATATAGTTATTTATAAATGCAGCAGAAATGTACTAATATGTCAGAAAAAAGGTCAAAGACACGTTTGTGAGCCACACTTCCTGCAAAAAACCACCGGAAACAGAACTATATATCTATATATATATACACACAAAACATATACATTGATATATTGATATATAAACACATATGCATGCATTTGTTTTCAAATTAAACATTGAACATTTATTCATATATTAATTATTTTGGTTCTCTATACGCTTAAGCAAGTTGCCGTTTCCTCTGGCGTCTGCACACGGCCCCTTTTATGGACATTAATGGGCGATTACCTATGCTAATGACTCACCTGGCATGCGCACTCAAATTTCGAGGAGATGGCATTCATCAACCAAAGAGAACAGCTGTAAACAATTCAGCGGCTTAAGAGCGCGCTGATGAATCCCACGTAGGGTCTTCATAGAAATTTTAAGAACGACTTAAGAAGTAATTTAAATAGATTAATTGTGATTAGATTTAGATTTTATTGATTAAACATTGTTTTACTTCTAACTTTTGAGCTCTATATATCACTTAAAGACATTCATTGTTTGTTGTTGTATCAATTGTGTGCATTGCTTTGAACTCAAACAATCTGAACTGTTTTTAAAAAGTAGGATTATTTTAGCATTAATCAAGAAGAAAAATAAACATCTATACATGAACCGCTTTACTGATACACACTAGTTCTAAACTAGCCTGGTCGTACCACACCATAGTACAAATGACATTTTTTACTAAGGTCTGGAGGTGCTCCATTGAGCTCCGTTTACAGGTGGGAGGGGTTAACTCCTTTTGCAGATTGAAACGATTGGATCTGAATATACCGTGACGTATGTAGTGCGCCCGAGTCTGTTGTTAGCATTTAGCATTTAGCCTCCTTTGCCGCTAACGGAGCCCGTGGGGAGTAGCACCACTATTTTTCCCAGAGATTACATTTGCTAAACATTCCCCTTGCTCCGGCTTCAATTTCTTGATAGAACCAGACCGGATTACTTTACTATCGGATTTTTCGCCATTACCAAACTACAACCTGCCCGTTCGACGCAAACTCTTGACATCACTCACAACTAACTACAACACCTGCCTTCCGCGCTCTCTGAATGGTCGGTCGAAATTCAACCGATTGTAATTGCTAACACAGGGACTAGACCCAGACGTTACATGCAGTGAAGTGTACGGATGGCTAAGGCCAGGCTAGGTCTAAACAGTTGAGTGACAAGAATGGATAAATAAATAGTAAAGAAAACTTTATTTAAACTACATCATCTGAAAAAATATTCACCATCTTAAAAAAAAAATGTCACACAAAGCTAAAGATGCGTTTTTCCTTGTATTTTAAGAACATAAATAGTAGTAGTCTTTGTGCTTTGATCGATCCTTTCAACCATCCGAGAACAGGAAAGACATTCAAAGTCAATGGTATAATCAGTTGCAACACCAAAAACGTCATATACATGCTAAAATGCCCATGTGGACTTGCATATATTGGGAAAACCACGAGAGAGTAAAAAACCAGGATTGCTGAACATTGATCAAACATCCGCAACAACAATCCAAAGAGTCTGGTGGCGTTGCATTTCACCCAATCACAGCATAATGTGAGTTCTCTGAGATACCAGGGCATTGAACAAATAAAAACCCCAAGAAGCGGTGGAGACAGACTCTTTACTATTGAGAAGTTTAGGATTTTTACCCTTGAGACTTTGAGTCCTAAAGGTTTGAATGAGGATTTCGATCCAAGACCCTTTCTCTGACTACATCTCGCAGCCATCAGCACTCCAGAGATATTACAAAAACAATGCATAAATTATCAAAATTAAATAAAATTGTCAATGTCCTGCTCTAATTTTTTGAGACTGTTGTTTGAGACTATTTTACATGTTCCATCCATGTAGCTTTTATTACACACCACTTCAGTAAAACACTCAGACACACATATATTGTACTTTATGATGGGTTGACCCTTTTATCCATTTATGGTGGATGTATGCATGTGTATGTGTATATTTATATACATGCATATTTTTGCAAATATGTTTGCGTACAGGTGTATACCTGCGTGTGCATGTATGTACATATTTTGTATATTTTTTTATGTATTGTATGTTTTCTTTGTATTTAGTATCAGTCACGTTACAGCCCTTGCTCACGTGACTAGATCTTTAAAATTGCTACCAGGTGTGTCTGGATTTTATGTCTGACGAAGGGCCTCAGCCCGAAACGTTACAGCGTGGTATGTAAATAAAATACACTGATTGGGAGCTACATAGCTGTGCAGATTTTTTTCACTGTTTTTATATCGATTCTATACCATCAATCTTGCATCCTTAATTCACATTCACACGTTTTATTATCACTCACTTTATGATTGAGTAATAATGGCAAAGCACATGCTTCCCCTGCATGTGCTGTGCCATTTCTTGAGCACTGTATATTGAACTTTATTGTACCTTGCTCGTTGGTGCAGGGATGGGTCGCTTCTTTCCGGACACCCTGCTCTTGCGAATTCGCCTGAAGCTCTGCCGCAGGGACTTCTTCAAGGACTTAACTCTGGAGAGGGGGCCTTCCATCGCCAACGAGTCGTTTGGATGAAGCGTACACCTGAGAGCAGAGAGAGGGATACTGTTAAAACTAAATTGAACTAAAACATAAACGCAACATCTGATGAGTAGTTTTTACACATTGCGACGAGAACCAATAGAGAGAATGATAGGACAAAATAAATACAAATCTTAATAGGCTCATTAAAGCTGGGGTGCCTAACTTTTCCCCCCAATAAGTCAAACATGTTATTCCCAATAGAAAGGAAACGTGTGTGAACAAATACCACTACACGCCGTCTTTCTCTTATTAGAAAAAAACATTCACTTTTGCTTATAGGAAAGAGCCATGCTCATTGGGCTGAATGTCTGAGTGATGTTGGTCCTCTCTGCCACATAAGATTTTTAAATCAGAACGGGTAGGGGTCAATGTGTGTTTTAGAGCCACGGACTATTTATACATTCATCTATTTATTCTTAATGTTAGCCCCTTGAGATGAACCATCAAAAATTTTCCTAAGACAGTAGGACAAAAACATTTTACAGTGTACAGACAATAAAAACAAAAATTCCCAAAAATAACATCCATCCATCAATCTTCATCTTCTGCTTAATCTGTTACCAGGTCGCGGGGGCAGCAGTCTAAGCAGAGACGCCCTGACTTCCCTATCTACACACACTTCCTCCAGCTCGTCCGGGGGGACCCCAAGGCGTTCCCAGGCCAGCTGGGAAATCTATTCCCTCCAGCGTCTCCTGGGTCTTCCCGGGGACTCCTCCCAGCGGGACGTGCCTGGAACACCTCCCTAAGGAGGCATCCGGAACAGATACACGAGCCACCTCAACGTGAAGAAGCACCGGCTCTACTCCGAGCTCCTCTCATGTGACTAAGCTCCTCATCTCTAAGGGAGCGCCCAGCCACTCTGCGAAGGAAGCTCATTTTGACAGCTTGTATTCGCGATCTTGTCCTTTCGGTCATGAACTAAAGCTCATGACCATAGGTGAGGGAGGGAATGAAGATTGACCGGTAAATCGAGAGTTTTGCCTTTCCGCTCAGCTCCCCTTTTACCACAATTGTTCAATACAACGGCCGCATCACTGCGCACGCTGCACCAATCTGCCTGTCAATCTCACGCTTTATCATTCCCCCACTCAAACAAATAACAGTCACATTCATTTACCAAACATTCAGCAATCGCAATTCCAGACCCACGCCCTCAATTGCCCAGAGCTTGCATTATCCATGGGCTTCAGGGCTAAATGACATTATCGTATATTGTTGTAGGCAGAGAGCCCCAACCCTTCAATAATGTGTTCTTTTTAAAAACACTTTAAGGTTCCATAACACGCTTTTCTTCATGTTTCACAGTCAATCCTACAGTATGCACATGTGTGATAATAATTTGAGTGATACACCACGCAACACTTAAAACTTGTGAGGTTATAGCCATCTCTTGCAAAGACATCACGTCACCTCGACTCAAACAGGCTGATCCAGAGAGAAGTCTGCTCCTCTGCAAGCCCGCCTCCCCCTGCCCGCACGGTGGTGTCGCATCACGCTCTGAGTTTCTCTCAGGTACATTTCAGACATAAGAATAAACGTTTTACAAAAATGACATTTTGTCACATCAAGCCCTACGTCCTCAATCCACAATCAGACGCTAATTATTTAGTTTACAGAAGTATAGGGCGGTAAGCATCACTGTACTTACAGATCGGGGTACGTGTGTTAGCGTCTTTTATCGTGGGAATAACACTGCTTTCCAGATCAGTTTTTGAGTAAGTCCAGTTCCATTGTCCCTGTAGTTCTGGAACAGTCTCAGTGAAGTGTCGCAGATTAACAGATTAATTCAAACAGAGGCAAATCCACGTGAAAAAAAGTCGAAACGCATTCTTCCTCTTTCGGGCCAAATAGTGAGTCACATATTTAGACCCAAAACACATTTTCTCCAAATTGACGTGATCTTAACACTTTTAGTTGTTGACAAAAGCATAAAAACAGTAGCTCCATGTGGTGTCTGCAGGACCAAACCACAGATACGCTGGAGCCGGTGTAGCAGGAGAGTTTAACCCCCTGCCAGAATACACCCGGGTATAAAGTAGCCTAGGCCAGATTATACCCCGGGTATAAAATGGCCTAGGCCAGAATATACCCCGGGGTATACACTGGCCTAGGCAAGTTTAACCCCCCATAGGCCAGATTAACACCCTCTTTTCATTTTATATAACAATAAAATACAAGCAATATTTTATTTTTCTCTTTATTTCTTACGAAATACATTTAGGAAAAGATATGATTTATGAAATAAAACTATAACTAACAATAATAAAACTAGAACAATCTCCTAATGCTCCCGTACTGTACTTTACAGTACCATACAGTAAAATGCTCATTGTTAAGGAATCCTTATATTGAATACAAGTATATTTAAATATAAAAACAATTTACAGAAAAAAAAGGACTGCACACTCTGCGTACATCACTGGTTTTTTATTCAAAAACAACAGTTGATGCATCAGCAGTCACACCAAGGAAGCGAGATGTAACTCTTCCATGATCCAATGAGAAGTCAGGAAACGCAATGAGCCAAAGAAACTCTTCGACACCGACACCGCTGATATGCGCAGTGAAGCAGCAGCTGCAACGTTCGAGAGACAGACTCGTTTGTCACGTGACCGGTTGTCAATCGGAGGATTGGTGTCATTTGCCCATAATTAATATCTACTCAAAAGTTCTAAAGGCGCTTTCACACCGCCGACGCTGGAACGCTGACCCCTCGCGCACCAGACGCACATTCTCAAATATTCAGACGCAGGGGTCTTCAGACCAGAAGTTCTGGGCTGCGGTGGCGCGCGCCGAAAGTGGCGGAAGTAGCGGGTGGACTTTGATGCTAACAGAGTTAAAGAAGCTATACCCGATTTTTTTTCTAAGTGGTTGATAAAAATGCTTATTACAACATACAAGTTGTATTATAATCCGTAATTTAATTGAAAACTTGAGGTAATTGATTCAGCTGTGTAAGAATTACAAGCAGTGAAAAGTGCTGAGTAGAGTCTGAGCGGGACGCTCGTTCTCCTCCGCTCACAGAACGAGCAGCGAACAGCCTGCGTCCTCTAGCCTCTACAGCGCTGCTAAACACCAGGGCTTCAGGCTTCGAAATTCGAATATAATTTTAAAATTAAAAATGTATATATTCGAACACATATTAGACAGCCCTTACAATTCAAAATGTATTCAATAACTGCAAATAAAATAGTTAGCTCCCAAAGGTTCCACCGGGACGTGCTAGGCAGGTAACAGCTAAGCTAGCTAGCTCCCCGGAACTACATGTTAATGGTTACTTCCGGGTTTTTCGCGATCGCTTTTTGTCACATTAAAATAGTAATTTGGTCATGAAAACGATAACAAGAAATTCTGAAATCGTCCGTGCATGTGTGTTAAGGATGTATATGTATACTGTATTGTCCGATTAACATTTAATGGTCATTATTGATTTGAGAGCTCTGTTATCAAGAAAAATGATCGGTAGAATTACATTCAAGTCAATGGAGTGTTCTACTGCTGCTGTGAGGAGCTGTATAATAAATTATAATGAAATACTCGAATATATTCTAATGTTTTAATGAATAAATTTGGATGCGAAACTAGCAGTATTCTTTCACCTACTGTATATATTGTGTTAGCAGTGCGTTGCTTTAGTACTATTTCATCAGTGATTGTTGTACAGCTTACAAGAAGTTGTGCTAATGCTAATGTTAGCATACATGTCAGATCGAAAATTGAACTAGATGGCTCTGTGTTATGAGCGCGCAGGGGAAATGAGAAGCCATTGAGTGAGTTGGGGGGCGGTGCTAAACATTCAAACCTTGCAGAAACGGGTATAGCGCCTTTAAGCTAGCGGCTTTTTGTGTAAAGTTCTTCTCCAATAATGCAGCTCTGTAGCGTCTCTGTGTACAGATACTTTATATATCTTTGGACTTTGGACCAAAGATGGCGCCTTGTACGGTCGACACGGCTCTTTGCTGCTCTTTTTCTTTTGTTTTTACTTTTTAATTGTGCATCTGGCTGTTCCTACACCCATGAGGAACTTATGAACATCCGACCCACCGTTCCCATGGACCTATTGCCTGTTTTCTTGCGGCTGATTTAGTTCATGTTCTAGCCAAAAAAGTGTGGGCTCGTAAAAGGGGAAAGCGCGGATGATTGCTCGTGCGTCTGAAAAGAAGAGGAGCGCGCACGGCTCTCCCCGGCATTTTTCTCTCCAACGTACGCTCACTGGGCAATAAGATGGACGAACTCAGCCTGCTCATGAGAAGAAACAAGGACTTCGCCACATCCTGTGTCCTCTGCTTCACTGAGACCTGGCTAAATGAGCGGATCCCGGACTGCCCTCTGTAGCTGCAGGGTTTTGAGCTGTTCCGCGCATATCGCAATTGTGCGCTATCAGGGAAGAGCAGAGGCGGAGGGCTGTGTTTCTACGTCAATACAAACTGGTGTAACGATGTGACCGTGATCTCCAAGCACTGTTCTCCTGCTCTGGAATATCTTTTCATTCATTGTAAACCATTTTACTCTCCTCGTGAATTTGTTTCATTCATTCTTGCCTCTGCTTACATACCGCCATGCGTGGACGCGCGCGAGGCTCAGCGTGCACTCGCAGAGCAAGTACTGTGTATGGAACGTTTATACCCGGACTCTCTGAAAATTATCCTGGGGGATTTTAATAAGGGAAACTTGAGCAAGGAATTACCCAAATACAGACAGTTTATCAAATGCCCAACCAGAGAGGAGAACACTCTGGATCACTGTTACACCACTGTGCGCAATGCTTTTCGCGCTGTTCCCAAAGCAGCCCTCGGCTTCTCAGATCACTCCATGATACATCTGATCCCGGCTTACAGACAGAGACTAAAGCTCTCGAAACCTGCAGTGAGGAGCTCCAAAGTGTGGTCTGATGAAGCTGTGGAAGAGCTGCGCGCATGCATGGAATCTACAGACTGGGACCTTTTCAGAGCTGCCACAGACAGTTTGGATGAATGCACGGACAATGTGACGTCATACATTCACTTCTGCGAGGATAGCATCATTCCAACAAGGACCAGGGTCATCTATAACGACAAACCCTGGTTCACTGCTAAACTCCGGCAGCTTAGAAAAGCAAAGGAGTCTGCTTTCAGGGAGGGGGACCGCAGCGGCTACAAAGGCGGCTAAATATCAGTTCAGGAAACATACACAGTCCCGGCACAGAGAACGACTACAGGAGCATTTTGGTAACAACGATACTGCTTCTGTTTGGAGGGGCCTACCGGAGATCACCAACTACAAGCCCAAAGCCCCCCCCCCTGTGCTGACGACCACAAGCTAGCTGACGAACTGAATTTTTTTTCAATCGCTTTGATGCTGCCCCTGACACCTCCCCCAGCCGCCACTACTCTAACGACTCACCCATCAGCCATGCCCCCAGCCTGACAATAGCCTCTAAAGAGATTAAACAACTCTTCTTGAGGCTCCACCCCCGCAAAGCTCCTGGCCCGGACCACGTGTCTCCGGCCACTCTGAGACACTGCGCCAGTGAGCTTACTCTTGTGTTCACTGACATTTTCAACACCTCTCTGCAGTCCTGCCATGTCCCGGCCTGCTTCAAATCCTCAATCATTGTCCCCGTCCCGAAGAAGCCCAGGATCACAGGACTCAACGACTACAGACCTGTAGCACTTACGTCTGTCGTCATGAAGTCATTTGAACGCCTGGTCCTCTCCCATCTCAAGTCCCTCACCTCCCCCCTCTTGGACCCCCTGCAATTCGCCTACAGAGCCAACAGATCTGTAGACGACGCCATCAACCTGGCCCTCCACCACATCCTACAGCACCTGGACTCCTCAGGGACCTACGCCAGGGTCCTGTTCGTGGACTTCAGCTCTGCCTTCAACACGATCCTGCCATCCCTGCTCCAGGACAAGCTATCCCAGCTCAACGTGCCCGATTCCACCTGCAGGTGGATCACTGACTTCCTGACAGACAGGAAGCAGCGAGTGCGTCTGGGGAAGAATGTCTCGGACTCTCGGATTATAAATACAGGTGCCCCACAGGGCTGTGTTCTTTCTCCCCTGCTCTTCTCCCTGTACACCAACCACTGCACCTCCAGCCACGACTTCGTGAAGCTGCTCAAGTTCGCGGATGACACCACCCTCATTGGACTCATCTCCAAAAACGATGAGTCCGCCTACAGGAGGGAGGTGGACCGGCTGGTGTCCTGGTGCAGTGGTAACAACCTGGAGCTGAACGCCCAGAAGACAGTGGAGATGATTGTGGACTTCAGGAAGAGCACTGTCCCCCCGCCCCCACCCTCCGTGATGGACTCCATCACCTCTGTGGAGTCCTTCCGTTTCCTGGGCACCACCATCACCCAGGACCTCAAGTAGGAGCCGACCATCAGCTTCCTCATCAAGAAGGCCCAGCAGAGGATGTACTTCCTGCGGCAGCTCAGGAAAGCCAAGCTGCCTGCACAGATGTTGGTGCAGTTCTACACAGCCATCATCGAGTCCATCCTCACCTCCTCCATCACCGTGTGGTTCGCTGGAGCCACAGTCAGGGATAAGCAGAGACTACAGGGCATTGTGCGCTCTGCAGAGGATGTGATCGGCCGCAGCCTTCAATCGCTGCAGGACCTGTACGTCGCCCGAGCCCGAGGCCAGGCTGGTCGTATCACAGCAGACCCCTCTCACCCTGCACATGGACTATTCCAACCACTCCCCTCAGGCAGGAGACTGCGGTCCATCAGGACTAGAACCTCCCGCCACAAGAACAGTTTCTTCCCCTCTGCTGTTGGACTCTTGAACACTTCTTAACCTGTCCCCCCTCCCTTTATAAAGTCACTTTACTGCCCATCATACGTCACTTTACTTCACTGTACTGCTGTCACCTTACATTGTGTGTACCATGTGCACTTGTATATTGTAAATAGTAACTGTAACTCTATTTTAAATTTAAATGTATTCCTTAGAAGTGTTTTTTATTCTTTATTTTTATTATCTCTCTCTGTCTGAGCCAAAGCAATTTCCAAGTATGTGACTTCCTGTTACTTACGTGGCAATAAAAATGATTCTGATTCTGATAACAGTAGTATGTGTTCACGGAGGTGCGCCATACGTTCATTTTAGTATTAAACTGTACTTCGGCATGGGCGAACACGCTCCAAGCAGTTGCATAAAGTCACGGGAGCATGAAAACGAATATGTTCACAAGCACTATGTCCCCCATTGTCAACCCTGGTTTAGTCCTGGGGTTAGCTCCTGTTTTGGCTGTTTGCTCGCTCAGACCGCTAATTTCCCCATGACCACTTTGAAGCTCTCTGATTGGTCGCTGCACGAACGTCCCGAGGAAACGCTCAGCAATATTTATCTCCTGCGTGCGTCAATTTTCCACTCCAGCGCCTCTGCCACGCCTATGCCGCGCAGTCCATACATGCATCCGGAGACGCACGCAGTTCCACGCTCGAACGCGCGTCACCATTGACTTTGCAATGAAAGTCGATGCAACGCCTTAAGAGTTTCATGTGAGAAGTAAGTAGATACATTGACTCATCACCTCACAAACAAAGTGTGAAAAGCAATCACACTAATTAGGGCCACAGAGTAATTAACAAACTACTTCTAAATATGTTTTTATAATTTTTAAGTTTAAGAAAATATTTAATAACGTTTAATATTTTTAGATAAAACAAGAGGGGGGTTAATCTGGCCTGAGGGGGGTTAAAATAGCTATTTTATACCCGGGTATAAACTGGCCAGGGGGTATAAAACGGCCTGTTACACCAGACTTGGGAACGGGCTGCGCGTTCTGATTTGCTGTTTCGATCTGTCAATCACCTCCTGGCATTAAAGTGCATATGACAGATACAATAAATCATTTGATTTCCCTCTCATATAATTCCTTCATCCCCATGAAAATGATAAAAGTTCTCATTAAATAATAAATTACACAATTCGTTTGTAAAATACCTCAAATAGACATCTATTTGTGATACTTCCGCAAAATCCTTAGTCACGTGACGTGACGTAGCGTAAGGGAGTTTGAACTTGCCTCACTCTAGTTATTGCTATCACCCCTAGTAGCTGGTATCGGATTTTCTGTCAATTTGTCGTTTATTGTAGTGAATATGGTGAACTATTGTGTGTGTGGAGGGTGCACGAATTCTTCATCTTCCGGATTCAGGGTACATTATTTTCCCAAAGGAAAAAAAAAGTCTTCTCTTTTCCGTGCCTGGGTGAATTTTGTACAGACGAAGAGGAAGGACTTTACCGCGGCCTCTGTGACCACGAGCTCTGTCATCTGTGAAGCCCATTTCAAGAAAGAGGACTATCTAAGTGGAGATCTGATGGAAATGGAGATGGGCTTCAAAAGTCGAAACAATGTGAGGCTGACGGAAGGAGCCGTGCCCAGTGTACAGTCTTTATCTTTGTCTGCTGCTAGCGCGGCTGCTAGTGCGGCTGCTAGCGGGGGTGCTAGTGCTAACGCGGGTAATGCAGGTGCTGGTACAGAAAGATCTTCATCAGCTTCAACAAAACGCTGGTTATTTTCAGTAAGTAACAGTTACCGTTGTTTCTATTTAAATGTAATAGCTACATAAGCGCTATTGTGTTGGATACATATGTTAGCTACTCGAGTTCAACTAGCAAGCATATAGCATAAGCTAGCATTATGTGAATGAATGTACTGCATGTTTGTAACACGTTTCAACAAATTAACTTGTGTAAACAAAATTTCCAATACTAAACCATAATTTTCTATTTGTATCTGTGTTAGTCATTAAAAATCCATTGTGTTTAAAAACGGCACAGTTGAACTCGTAAGTTACTGAAGTGGTGGGACTAATTTGTCAGCTGGTATTTCCCAATTTCTAACTGGGAGTGCTGTTCCCATTTCAGTAATTTACAAGTTGAATTGTGACATTTTTGAACCAAGAAAATTGTCTAAACTTTTACAAATGAGCAGCATAACGCAACATTCAATTATAACCAAGTTTGCGGTTTAGTATTTGTCCTGTTTTGCTCATATAAGGCAATTTGTTGGAAATTACAATTTTTTGAAGCTTGTTTAGCTTCATACAAGCTGCTGACAGATGATGTGTAGTAAATGTTTTTGTGCGTTTCAGATTTTGAGTGAAGATGATGAAGCTCTTACAAAAGAAATCATGAATGAACCCGATGAAGACTTTACCACTGATTCTTTGCCAAGAACTATCGATCAGGCTCTACAGTGCAACATAAGACTTCCTTATCGTTCATCCGGTAATGTTTGTTTCCCAACATAGATTGAAATAGTATCTAAAAGTTACTAACACATGTCACACTCACTTTGTAGAACTTAATTATAATATAAAATGGAAAACATTTTTCCCCCCCTGATTCAGAAAGTTTTCCCTTATGTTCAAGATGTCCAGGTGAAGCCTACATTGATAAGTATTGGCACTCAAACTGAAGAGGATATTCATTCCACTACAATGGCCATCAATCATGTGACCTCTACACCTGTGAAGAATGATGAGGAGGATGAGCAGTCCTCCTTTGATTTTGATAGTCATCAGTGGGACAGCTCTTGGAGCATTGAGGAGGAGGAAATGGACACTGATACATCGGAGGAAGAGGCACAGGACGAAGAACAGAGAAATACAAAGTAAGTGATCATTGTTGTATAATTGGACTGTTCTAATGGGGAAGTAAATGTATTAACTTTACTTTTCAATAGATTTGCAGACAAATTTATAGTTTGTGAATCACAATTGCTGTCCTTGTTTGCCGTTTGTCCACAATGTTCTGAGGAAACCCAGCGAAAAGTAAAACACCAACAGGGAACCTTTATTAAAGTGGAACAGGCAAGATTGTCTTTACCATGAGTAACTCTGTTCTCACTGTTGGCTGTTTTTATTGCATAACTTAATGAATTAATTTTCTTACAGATTTGCTCTGCTTGTGGTTTTGAACGGGAATGGCAGAACCAACCAAAGATGCACAAATATATGCCTTTGTGCAACTTGATGCTTAGTGGGGCCATCCACTTTTCAGGGTGCATGCCAACACAGGCTTTGAGGATGCTTGGCCTGCTTGGAGTGCAATGTATAAGTGTTAGGACATTCTTTCGACACCAGCAACTATACACGATCCCCACCATCATTGGAACGTGGAAGAACAAACAAGCACAAATTCTGAACCAACTGAAGGCCAAAGAGGGAGGGCTTATTCTTGCTGGCGACTGCAGGTGAGTTGAAGATGAATAACTCTCATACGGTATGAATAATTATAACAATGTATAAACAAACAAACATTTGAACAGATCTGATTCACCGGGGCATTGTGCTAAATTTGGAACATACACCGTAATTGAGGAGAGGATAAACAAAGTTTTGGACCTTCAACTTGTTCAGGTATGGCAATACTGTGGCTGAATCACATGTTTCAATTTCAATATGGCCTATCTGCACGGTGATCACATGATTATCTACGTGTCTGGGTGGATTTTCTCCGGGCACGGTTTCTACTACCACACAATAACATGCACCATAAGTAAACCCATGTGTTGACCAAGCCAAAACTATCTGCAGAGGTGGAGATGGAAAAATATGAATGCATTACATACATTTTCAAACCAGCCATGATTAGTTATTAATGTCAATATAGAATTTAATATTAAATACCATCATGTATAAGGCATAAGGAATTCTGTATTTAAAAGGTTCATAGTTAGTCGTGCCTTGTACACAAAGTTTGGGATGAGAATAATCCTGTTTTTGTGTGCCTCTCAAAGAGCTCGGAAGTACCCAATAGTAATTGGTGTGAATTGGAGGGACTAAAGCGGACCATCAACCTTCTTTCTAAGGAGAAAATTAGTGTCTCTACGCTTGTGACTGATCGAAATCGCCAGGTAATGAATGTGGATAACTTTTAATAATATCTTCAGTCACAATCATTTATATCAAAGACTTTTGTTACTCAAAAGGTGGCCAAGTGGGTGCGTGAGAAGCTATGTCCAGAAGGCACAAAACATTTCTTCGATATTTGGAATGTTAGTAAAGGTAACTATGAAAGCACTCTTATACCTCCGCCATTTGGTGAGTTATGGCACAAACAAAGTTAGTTTCACCTCAAAAATGGATTGTTGATTGGCCCATAGTTCATGTTTCCTAAAAACTTCAAATCCAAATCCACCCATAACCGGAGTTGTGTCATAAGCAAATGGACAAATTCTCCCAATCACAAATGGTGGTAATAATGATCTAATTATAAATTGTCTTGGGACCGTCTGAAATATTTTTGCTTTTATAATTCATGTTCTGGTTTTTCAGGTTTAAAGAAGGCTTTGGATGCTGCCTCTAAAGAGCAACACTGTGAGGATCTCGCCCTCTGGAAAGCTGCAGTTATAAACCATCTTTACTGGACTGCTGCATCCACACCTGATGGCAATCCTGAAGTGTTGGAGGCAAAGTGGACTAGTTTGGTGAACCATGTCCAGGACATCCACACTCACAAGAGCCCCTGGTTTCCAGTCTGTGCTCATCCTCCTCTGGAAGGAGAAACCAGAGAGAAGCAGTGGCTGGAACCAGGTGATTTATTAGGCCGAGCCAATACGAAGTATTGGGGAGGCCTATTGTTATTCACCGGTTTCATATTATTATTCTTTTTCTTTTTCCGCAACTTCAATTCGATTTTTGACCCTGAAGACATGCACGAAAGTCTGCACATGGGGGGTCTAAAACGACCGGTTCGGCGAAAAATTTGATAAAATGAACGTTTCCAGATTGTCCGACGCTCGCCGACTCTATAACGCCCCCTAGAAATTTCATTTTTTTGGACCCTCTGGGGATTTTTTTTCAAATTTTTGAGTAGGTATACGAAATTCGGATGAGTGATAGATCTCTATGAGACGAGCATAAAAGCCGTTCTAAGCACATGTCTGGGACCAACAGGAAGTCGGCCATGATGGGCCAAAGTTTCGCCACTAATTTGACTTTTCATTTAGAAATTCGAACTAGTCCCTGGTTTTTCATCACACAGAGTTCTACCACGTCATTTCCCAATCTGGACGGATTGAAGTTATATAATCATCAACAAAAAGTTAGAAAATCTTCACCGTTTTTTTCCCTCGCCATGGCGAATAAGGCCTTCGTTTTGGCCATTTTCGCTGAGCCCTGAGGGCCACAAGCTCAGACCTACAGAGCTGAGACTCACATCAGTAATATTAGGTTATGGCCTGAACGCAATGACACTAAAATCATTCGCCCAATATGAGCTCTTTAGCGCCACCTGTCGGAAAGTAATAGGGCACTAGTGCTCGGATCGGCCCGAAAATCGCTGAGTGTATTCTCTGGACCGAGACGAGCAAAACATTACATTACGCAAAAGTTGTAAGTCCTACACCTGACCACTGGGGGCGCCGTAAAGTAAAGGAATGAGCTTTTTGGGGCAAAATATTTGTCCGATGAGGCTAAAAATGAATTCAGAAATACAGCGTATGACCCTGAACACAACGATATACAACGCACAACTGTGAGTGCAACAGCGCCACCTACAGGCAGTTCAAGGTGTCGCATTTTTGGCTTCGTACTAGTCCCTGGATTTTCATCGCACAGAGTTCTACCACGTCATTTTCTAATCTGGACGGATTGAAGTTATGCAATCATCTCATAAAAGTTAGAATTTTGTTATCGTTTTCATGCGAGGTAGTGGGGAATTTCTCCATGTTTGATGCTCTCCTGACCACAGGCTCAGACCTACAGAGCTGAAACTCACATCGCTAACAGTTGGTAATGACCTGAGAGTAATGGTGTGAAAACACACACCTAATATGACTCTACAGCGCCACCTATGGAAGGCTTCTGACCTAAACTTTTCCGATCTTCACCAAAGTTGCAAAATCAGATTTTTACATCTGTACGAGCAAAATACTACTCTATGTAGAGGGTGCATGTCCCGGAGGTGACCACTAGGGACGCACTTTATCATATAAATGAGCTTTTATATTCGTAATCCTGGTCAGATCGGGCTGCCAATTCGTCGGCGTGACGCTTGTGGGACTGGCGCCCAGGAGGCGGTCGCAAGAGGGGCGAGGCCTTTCATCGCCGCTTGCGGCTTTAATTATTATTGTTGTTGTTAATATTACAAAAGTGAACATGTGTGCTAACCATCCCTCGCGTGGAGAAAGTCCCCACAGAAAGATGCTATGAAGCCTGAGTGTTAGCCTGCCTGCCGCCATATATTATTCTAGGAAAGCATACAATTTTATTTGAACTTGCACTGACAAAATAAATTGATCACAGGATCCCTGGTATCCATAAAGCTGGAGAGCATGGCGATGCGGCCGATGTTTGTTAAAGATGTGCGACAACTGTCGCCCTCACATCAGACCTATTCACTTGAGGCGTTCCATGCGCTCATTCTCCACTTTGCACCGAAACACACTGGGTTCTCCTTCCTGGGCATGTATAGCAGGTAAATATTGGCAAATTTTTTAAACTGCTGTTTTACTGTCCTATTTTATAACAACAATTTTGCCAATTCCCCTTAGGCTTCTTCTTGCTGCCCTTCACTTCAACCATAACAGCAACAGAGAAGTTCTGCGATCTGACGGTGAGGTCCGCCATCAAGTACGGTACCCACGGTTTATGAAGGGTACTGCAGTGGTCCGTCCAAGGAGACTCAGTCATATGGTTTCAATCAAGCGTAACTAAGAATAAAATGGATTGTACTGTTGGTATATGCATCTAATTTATGTCTGTATCCATTAGAATATGCGTTTGATCTTATGGAGCATCTGCATCGAACCTACAGCAGCACTCCGGAGTAGTTGAGACAAAGCAGTGCTCTCCTGGCATCCTCCGCGCCGCAGCCTCTTACAGCATCATTTCAGAAAGTTCCAAAGGAGGAGGCAGTCAGACAATATAAAGCGCTTCATTCTAGATTTTCTTCCCAGTGAATACTAATTGCTAATTTCCACCACTGAGCGGGAAACCCAGAGCTCTGACTGCAGACACTGCTCCCTCTTCACCACAATAGTCAGACACAGCGACCATGTCAGAAAGTGTGAATGAATAAGACTACTTACAGTCTTCATCTTATTAGAGAACTTGCCCATTGAAATGTTAGTAAAGAGTGAGAAATATTCGGCATGTTTCTTTTTTTTCTGGTTTGAAAATGCACAGGTTAATTGTAATTTTAATATCAAATTACTTGTTAAGTGTTATGAGTGTTTTGTAAGTTGTAATGTAAACTCCAATACTTTGGATTTTAATAGTACAATATTCCTACATAATTGTAAATATTGACAAAGCAAGTTCATACTTTGTTAGTCATATCTTTGCATGTGTTATTATTGTTACTTTTTGTATTGTGTATATTCTAAATGTTTTTGTATACAAAAAACACTTCATTCATAATTTGGTAAGTTGGCCCACTGAAAGCCTTTGTACTGCCCTTGTTCTGGAAAGGAATTCCTTATTATGGAAACAATGCATGATGGTATGGGCTTTCGTATGTGCCTGCCCAGGATGCCATATGCCCAGCGCACCACCTGCCTGTAAGCTGTGTAGCGATACTGCCTGCAGAGTTACATTTGCATGTCAACACACAGACATCCACCATGATAGAAATGTGATGAAAAAGAGAACCTACTCATGCTGGGTAGCAACAAGAGGGCCAAACTCCTGCCTGAAGTTGAGGTAAGCTATCTGAAGCACATAAGGATTCAGACAGCAAGCTTCAAACCCTGGATGTTCTGTCAGACAGGTAATATTTGGTTGTGGTGGGTTTATCTTTTCCACCAAGGTCCAATAGGCATCAACCTCCCTGCAGCACATGCTTTCCTCAGCTGTTGGCATGAATTGACATTTCCCACACAAGCACCTTTGAGAAATAATCAAATTATATAAATTAAAGGTAGTGCTAGTTGCCACTGGAGGGCAGCATAATTTTATAAACGACTGTATAATAATCATGTGATATGCGCAAATGGGGAGTACGACTTAACCAATAGAACTAAACCATGCGCTCAATTCCGTGGGTGAGACATCTTAAGAGCGCATTCATGAATGGACAATGCCCTATTTAAACAATATATGGTTTTAAGTAATAAAGTTAGGCTACCTTTTATACAGAATTTAGAATTTTGCGCGGCTGTCGCTGCCTAGCTTACCAAGATGATTGGCCTGTTCGCCATTCATTTTCTTGACACCAAAGCTCAATTTCCCTTCTATGGCCATCATTCCTCACTCTCGGGCGTTCACGTTCTCTGTGATCTATCACAACAGGCTCAAAATTGTATGGAATAGGTCCATCATACAACAGTTGTGATGCATCGCGCTCCATTGTTATACTGTATACAATATACAGCAATGTGTTGTGTACCTTACGTGACGTAGGGCTCGGAACCGGGTTGGAATGCGGAAGTAAATATTTTCACATAAAATGCAATAAACTGTTAATATTACTTATATTTTATATACATTTCAACCTTAATAATAAATATGATTGTGTTATCGACATTTAAGTGACATTGGTACCCTAATCTTTAACTTTAACAACGGCTCCTCAGCTGAGAGAGGACTTGTTTTTTTTTTGTCAAAGATCGGATTTGTCATCATAAAATGTGTATCATCCTGCAATAACTCTGCATTGATCTGTGAGGGCATTGACACGTCAGAACGCTAACGTGTTGCTTTCTGCACAAGCATGAGCGCATTAAGCCCTCACTACAGCAGTCACTACACTGCACTATTCCCGACACCAATTGCTTAAGGCAGAGAGAAAATAGTAACTTTGGCTAATTTTTCAGCTTCCACTGGCCATTGATTTGAAGATGGACCTCCCAGGGGTTTCTCAGAGCTTTTCCTTGCCGATGCAGGAGGGTCTGTTAGACTGTTCATGCTCTAACAAAAAGGACTGCGGTGATGATCTTGGATACTCAATATTCTACAACATTTGTGAACATTAAAGAAGCTATACCCGATTTAATTTCTAATGAGTTCATACAAATGCGTTATACTACATACAAGTTGTATTAAATCTCTAATTTCATTGAGAACTTGAGCTCATTGATTCTGCTTGTGTATGAATTCAGGCCGTAAAAAGTGCTGAGTAGAGACTTAGCTTGACGCATGTTCTCTTCCACTCACAGAACGAGCGAATATCCTGTGTCCTCTAGCCTCTACAGGGCTGGTGGTAAACACAGCAGCATATTAGCAAAAAGTGGTTACTTCCTGTCTGTAACTGCATACACAGCAAAATAGCCCAAACGACTCAACAGTGAGGACAAGAAGAGGAAACTATGATGAAAGTGAAAGTGAAAGTGAAAAAATGATCAAAGAAGAAATCAAGCCCGGCTGAACATACGTAGCCTTAGCTTACCGTTAGCCATCTAGTTTAAGTAGAGATCTGATATGTATGCAAACCTGATAAAAATACAGCACAAAAACTGAACGATTACCACCAGTTTCACGTCCAAATGTAGTCCGAGGCAGTCCCGCAACTCTCCAGCAAGGATGCGATGTAAGCTACCTACATATTCACTCAGGCTTGATTTCTTCTTTGATCATTTTCTCACTTTTCAGTCTTTTGGGCTGTGCTGCTGTGTATGCAGTTACAGCCAGAGGAAGTGCTGCTGTCTGCGCTGCAGACGCTATAGAGGCAGTCTGTTCACAACAGCACTGCTCCTTGTTCTGCGAGTGGAGAAGAATTAGCGTCACGCTAAGATTTGAAACCCACTAGTAATCTTTATTTATATACCGCCTTTTCACTGCAGATCCGAGTCTCAAAGCGGTTTACAATTGTTAATTTTTGGGCATTTGTCTCTCACTCCACACCGAGATGGGAGCAGGGGCCAGTACAGGAGGCACATGCTAGAACTATTGGACATATTTTTAGTGGTAGGGGAAACCGGAGTACCCGGAGGAAACCTACGCAGACACGGGGAGAACATGCAAACTCCACTCAGAAAGGCCCTGGTCCGACCGGGATTCGAACCCAGGACCTTCTTGCTGAGAGGCGAGAGTGCTATCCACTCACCGCCACCGTGCCGCCCACTAGTCAAGGAACTATACCTGACTGTTTTCTGTGACTGAACAAGAGGCCCTCTTTTTGCTTTTTTAGAAAGACAGATCACCACCAACCATTCACACACTTGACTCATTCTAGGCAAAAGCCTGCGTGAATTGTTATCTTTTTGGAATCTAGACATAAAGTTTGCTCCAAGGTGTTCGTAAGAGGTTGAAGTTGCATTTGATAGAGGTTATTTGATTCTTTACAAGTAATTATGTCTATATACATAATAACCAACCTTTTTTGATAATGTAGCGTAATGTACTCTTGAAAACTAATGATAGATATGAGAATGTTCACATCCACAGAATCCCCAAAGACTAACTTAAAGTTTGAGTAAAATTTCATTTTCAACAATGTTCAGGCCTGAGAGTTCAAGAGGTTAATTAACTTTTAAGCTGTAATTAACTTGATTTAAAACTACTAGGACTGTTGACAGCCCTATGGTGTAACTCAAGGGTTACACCATAGGGCAGCGATAATGGTGTAACTTTTATCGCTGCACCATTGAGAGTTTACTTGTTGGTTCTGTGTCTGTGTGGTTTGGAAACATCACAGATGAAGAAAAGAGAGCTTTAAACAAGGTGCTCCGCTCTGCAAAGAGGACCGTGGGCTGTGAGCTTCCTGTTCTGGAGGTTCTTTATAAATCCAGACTTTTAAACAAAGCTCTTAAAATCATCAATGACTCTTCTGGCCACCCTGGGAAAGCCATGTTCCAGCTTCTTCCCTCTGGCAGAAGATATCGGTCGCTGAGATGCAAGACATCTCGCTATGCTAACAGCTTCTTTCCACAGGCTGTTAGGTGCCTAAACAGAGCACTTTAATTCCTGCTTTTACCCCTTGTATTGTTTTGTTGATCGGTGCCACAGTGTCAGCTGTTTTTTATTCTTTTATATTCAGTGTATTTTATAGTACATTGTATTGTGCTTTTTATTCTGTCGGTGCACACAGAGTACCTTTTTTTGCAAATGTATTCCAATGTAGTTTTTATACTGCACATGGCTAATAAATGAATCTGACAGCCCTGGTAAAAAACGAAGCTTTGCGCAAGTTCACTCTGGTAGACCTGGCCTGCTGCTGCCCAGCTCCTCCAGGTCTGCTCTCATCCTCGGCTCATCGCACAGCAACACCCACTTCCAGTCAACCAATAACTGGTCTGGCGGCCCTGGCCCTGGGCGCGCGAGCAAGCGCCGCGCTCAACAGCACTGCTCCGGGGCCTAGGGCACCAAACATGCTTAATAAAATACTTCAAATTGTATTTCGTGTCATGGGTTTCTCCAGAATGAAGTGCAGTTGTGAATTTCAAAAAGCTTTGGCTCCTCTTGACTTGCATAGAAAAATAAACTCCTAGCTCATCGTTTTATGCTTAAAAAATACATGGTTTCACACTCTCTGAGATCCTGGTATTTATGTGATGATTCCCTAAAAACTGACCAATCAGGAGCCTTCTGTCACAGAATTTGGATTTAAATAGCAGCGGTGCTCCTAATTTGTGTTTCATAACTCAACCATTGCTACCAACATAATTTGCATATATTTTGATCCACATCGCCAACCAAAAAGCCGGTTCAAACTTGCTCTAATCGGCCTCTTCCACATAAAGACAATCACTATGGGTGACCCATGGGTGACTATAACCCATCCTGATTCCACTAAGGCTTCCGCCAGGAGCAGTGGTCGCAAGAGTGCAGCACCCGGGGACACATCTTCAGATGTTGATTTTCGGCTTGGTCAGGACCGGAGCTGGAGGATTTGACCTGTTGTGCATGTTTTTATTGGTAGAGGAAACCTGAGCACCCAGAGGAAACCTATACGCAGACACGGGGAGAACATGCAAACTCCACTCAGAAAGACCCTGTTCCGACCGGGATTCAAACCCTGTTTAGAAGCAAGAGCGCTATCCACTTAGCCCCTGCGCCACCCTAGGATGCGTATAGGATGTCCTCTCCATCCATTCACCCCTTCATAAATTGACTATTTATGAACCATAATTTATTGTTACTGAGATGTAATTACCATAATCTCCTGAGGACCTCATAACTGCCATGTTGAATGTTCGTTATGTCCAACCCATCCATCCTTGTAGCATATTTTTATCATGTTACATTTAGCCTGCGGTCGTGCCGTGTATGAGAAACCATATTTTCAGACAGAGCACAATAAAGCCAGCTATTTCCACTGGGCTGCGTTGTAAAGCTTTATCGCTCTCCCCACAGTGACAGCAGCCGAGCAGAGGACGTCGAAATAGAGCACTGCTTATCCCTCTCCTATTCACATGCCACATTTTAGAGCCAAGAGGGTATCATACATGCTTACCATACATGCTTCCACATCAACGCCATGTCTGCCTCTGCTCCCTGTGAACAATGCGTTAAATGCTAAATGCATTAAAAAAAACTTTCCAAAAAAGTGAGGTTTTTATCTTTACTTGCTTTAAATAAGTTCTAAAACTGGTTAATGAAACTTGAAATACACAAAAAACTGTTTCTTTAAATAAAGGCTACAAAGTTTAAATTGTTGGCAAGTAAATAGACTGTTATTGTAATTAACACTCGCTCTGCTCTGGTGGAAAATTAAGCTGACTCGGTTTAAAAGCGGAATCAGAGCCCCTCCAAAATCAGTCCAAGACCAGTTC